CTCGGCTTCGCTGGATTCCTGCCTCTCCGCTGCTGAAAAGATTCAAATGCAACAAAACGGCGGAACAAAACTGGCAGGTTGACCACAGAGCTTTGGAAAAATTATCTAATCTCTCCAAGCCTTTTCCAAAGTGCTCGTGTCGCCCGTTTTGCAAACGCCGAGTCTTTCATTCATAAACCCTTGACGGCTTGTGAGCGCAGCTGAAGAGCTCTGACAGGGCGGGCCTGGGAGCAGAGGAGATTTCTGGGGTGAAACCAGTCAGTGGTGATACCAGAGGGCAAACCCAGACCTCTGCTTCCATCCTCTGCCTCTCTGTTGACGACGTGTAATGTGTTTTTCCCCTGTTCTGTCTTACTGGCAAGTTTTTCTTTGCTGCAGATCGGTACACAGAACAGCCTGGAGATCCTGGAAGATCCAAAAGCTGAGGTGGTGGATGAGATCGCTGCGAAGCTCGGTCTGAGAAAGGTTAGGATGTTGTCGGATCTCACGCGTCTTTGTGTAGCAGTGAAGAAAGTTGTCGGTGGTTCTCCTCAGCTCTGTGGGGTTATTCGAGCCCATTTGGGCACATCTGAAATCTGGCTTAAGCTTTGGTAGCTCTTATGCTTTTAGGTAGGAGAAAACCAAAATGAGGACATTTTCCTGAGCACCAGCATCTAGCGGGGCTGTGCAGCTGAAGTCAGCAGTGCTCTGCCGTGAATGGCATCAAAGGAAGCAGCAAAGAAGCAGAAACACGATTTTCCCTTTATTCTCCTTAGCTAGGAGCCGCTCCTGTTAGCATCTCCCCGGCGAGGGCTAATTTGGCACAGATGTGGCTGGAGTTGCCTTCCGAGCGTGTTCTTCCTTTCAAAAGAATCTGCGCTCCGCTGTCAGGAGCAGAGACTCCCACTTGTTTTTTTTATTCTCTTCCGTGGGGTCCTGTCTCTCGACGCTGCTGAAGCTGAGTTCATCTCTACCTCGGTTTAGGGGGGCAGCTGAGCCTGAGCCCTGTGCTCCCCTCGTGCCCGCAGCCTGCCGGCCGGCCCATCACCACATGTGGGTGTCGGGACCCACCGGTTTGCCGGCATCTCTCAAACCCGCACTGATATTTTTCCGGTTTGGGGAAGTCTTTTTGGTATGATACGAATGCCAGGAATGAGATGTACACAAGCAAGATTTGACTTGCTAAGGAGAACACGCGTCAGAAAAGGCTCGGCACGGTAGACTGTAAACATCTGTGGTGAGGTCTTTTGTCCTGGGAAGATAAGATCTCCAGCCTTTTGCCAGCGTCTGAAGCGAAGCTTCTGTGTGTGTTATTTATTTCCACGCTTTTCCTCCTCTTCTCGTATCAGATATTTTTAATCGAGGTGGCTTAGCTTACTGCTGCCTGCAGGGTTTTTGTCGTCTGGGCCCTGCAAGGAACCTGAATCGGCGATTCTTCCCCTGAAGGGTTAACGCAGGAGGGGCTGATCCGAGCTGTTTTTAGCATGTGTGTAGCAGGGTTCACTCAGGGGTGTGCGTGTACACATCTCTACTCCTATGTGCAAACAATGCAGAAAGCAGGGATGTGTTTTTTGGATGGGAGCGGGCTCTGGTTTGGAATGAATCGTGCTCCAGTGGGAACGTGTGAGCTTTATCTTAACTAGTGCCTACGAGCTTCAAAATGAGATCATGTGAGCTGCTTTGTCATCCGCTGGCGCTCCCGGGGCTGCTTTGCTCTGAATGCTCAATAGGAAATGCTTTTTTGCTGTGGGTGGGAGGGAGGTAGCGGCTGAGAGGCCTCTTGCAGCCTCCAGATCTTTCCATGAAAAAATATTCCATAGTGCAACATAAAGCTGCAGGTGCCCCGGGCCGGCCAGCTGGCATGTTGCTCCTGGAAATCGGATTCAAATGAGCCCGGCACAGCTGGGAGAGCCATTTCCTTCAGGCAGCGTTACAGCAGGGCCCTGTGAGGAGCCAAGAACATCTTGTCCTGCTAGGAGAAAATGTATAAGCTCTCCTCTGGTGTGGGGGGTTTTTTTGGTGGCAGTTTTTTCCTTTTTTTTTCTTTTTTTTCCCCCCTCTTTCCCCTTAAAGCAATTTTTCTCCGTAACGCGTCTTTCTAGGTTGGCTGGATATTTACTGATCTGGTCTCTGAAGACACGCGGAAAGGGACCGTTCGATACAGCAGGAACAAGGTGAGATTCGAGCAAATTCCGGCTGCTGGCACCTGAGACTTTGTGCAATCTGTGCCAGGTGGGGTCCTGAGCAGGGTGGAGGTGACGCTGGGACTGGAATTCTGGTGAAACAGGGATTTTTTCAGGAGCTTCCGAAAGAAAAGAAGCTTGAGCTCGAAGAGCATGGTTAGGGCTGTGAGGCTGTTGGGACCGCACGCGAAGCTGCCCGCCATCCTCACCCCCTCTGCTTTTAAGCAAGTGGTGCTGATGGTTTAAAATTTGGCAGAGTGGAGGGACTGGGGTGGTGCGAGGTGCGAATCAGCGAGCAAAAGTGACTCAGCCAGAGGATATTCCTGTGGGCTGGGCTTTGTGACATAGACGTGGTTCAAACTTCGGCCTCCTCAGCTCCCGGTAGTTCTACAGTCGGTCATAACCCTATTTGGAAAACGAAACTCCGCTTTTAAAAAAAAATCAGCAAGGTGTGTAAAGGTGGGTGGAACAAAAGTGAAACAGTCCTTGTGACGAGAGCCAGGCTCAGGGCTGAGGAGCCGACACGTCATGTTCTTTTCCCAGTCTCGACAGCAACTTTCTCCGAAAGCGCGCTTTGCCGGGGTGTTGGGCGTTTTCTTTGGCTGCAGCCCAGGGAAATAGGTCTAGGCTGTGTCGCGTTGTCCTTTTTATTGACATCTCTGCTCTCCCCTCAGGACACATATTATCTGAGTGCAGAAGAGTGCATCACAGCTGGGAATTTTCAGAACCAGCAACCCAACATCTGTCGCCTTTCTCCAGATGGTCATTTTGGATCCAAGTTTGTCACGGTTGTGGCTACAGGTATCAACTGGCCTGGGCTTGCTCTGGCTGTCTGGGTTACACATGAGTTATCTCTTGTTAAGAGAAGAAAAATACGCAGCTCTGCCAGAAGAAGTCAGACACTCCGGTCCCCATCTGTCCTATTTAACCAGGGTTTTTCCTTGCTCTATCCAGTAAAATATTTTACCTTTTTTTTTTTTCTTTCTTTGTGCTATCCTCTCTACGGTTATTTACCTTGTCCCCTGCAGGAAACTTAATTAAGGCTCAGACCTGGAGCATTCACCTCTCTGATCCAGAAAGCATTTTTTGCCTGTGGCCAGGGGCGTAACTGCTGCTCACTCTTCTGTTTCAGACCTTTGAGCTCCAAACTGTGTTGCCTGAAAGCGGCAGTGCGGAACCACGGCCGTTTGAATCCTGAAAGTTGCTCTGGCTGGTTCAGCAGAAAGGAGGGACCTTTATCTCCCTCGTGTCGCTGTCAGGGAAACCCTTACGTAGGACGCTGCGCGCTCTGCCAGGCGTGGAAGCATTTTTTTGTTTGCCTGAATAAAACAGAGGAGCCTGCAAAATGCTTTTGCTTTGTCACCTCCGATTAGAGCCCGTTTGCGCAGCGAGTCTCCGGGTGCTGGGCGAGTCATAGCGGTTAGAAGTTCAATCCGCTCTTCTCCGCGGGGCGACACGTGTATTCATTTAAAAATTTCCCTGCAGCAGATACGCTGCGTTCTGAGGGGGAAAAAAAGAAAAAAGAAAGAAACAACAAAACCTCATGATTTCCAAAGAGCGTCCAACATAAAAAAAAAAAATCACAGTGTGATATTAGGTTGCCTCCCCTGAGACCAGGTTTTATGAGTGTTCCCGGAGCCTTTCTCGGCACAAATGCTCTTTCGCTTCACAGGCCCGTGCAATCCGGCAGCTGCCCGTACATTCCAGGCTGCTAAACGCATCCATCTTTCATTAAAGATAGATGCGTATCTCGCTACTTTTTGTTGCTGTTGTTATTTCTTTCTGGTTTGTTTTTTTCTTAAACAAGGTGTTTTACTGAGAAAATGATGACCAGCTTGGTTCGGGCCTTCCCCCGTGTCTTGGTCTATGTTTAATTTCGAAGAGCGTTTGTTCTGGAGCAGTGAGGGATTGAGGTTAGAGATCAAAAGGTAGAAAAGGAATATTTCCTCTTTTCTGTTCCAGATAATTTCATTCTCTTCTGTTAAATCAGCCCATCAGGTTTCTATTTAAACACTCGATTCCTTCCTTTTGTGCTGTATAAATATAGCTGGATAGTTTGCCTCAACTTTACCTTTAAATCCTCCGCGTGGATTAATTCCTATCCTCCCCTGAATTCCTGGGTTTGGAAGTAGTAATGTTTTCCTACCATCTGTCTGTATCTCCTCTTTCCAGTTGTATTCTAATGACATGTGCCCTGACGTTGCTTACATTACCCAAATTAAAGCACCGAGCGTGTGATCTATCAGTGAGCCAGGCTCTTCGTTTCCACTTTCCATGTCAGCTTTCCACCGAGGCTGAGAAAACCCTTTTTTATTCTTACTCCCTGAATCTGCAGCTCCTGGTTCCTTGGAGCTGAAACAAGCTCGCAGGAGCTGTGTGCCCGTTTTTCCTTGTGGAAGACAGCAGATCCCTGCGGGGCAGTGGGATCCCTTCGCCTCCCTTTAGCTCCTGGCAAAGCACTTTTACTGTCACTCCAGGGTCTGTCCTGCTGGGCTGTCTCTGAGCGCGCGTGGTGCTAAATAAATGTAGAATTTAGAGGGGATTCTAGCCTGGAAGTTCTTCCCGTGCGGCAGCATCCGTGGTTTCATCCCTCCCGTTCCCCACTGTTAGCGAGACCGTTGCGTTTAACGTCGCTCCCCGAGTTACGCTGGGCAAATCCCTCTTGCGTGGGATTTTTAACCGGCCTCTTCTATTCCAGGTGGTCCCGACAACCAGGTGCACTTTGAGGGGTACCAGGTCTCGAATCAGTGCATGGCGCTGGTTCGGGATGAGTGTTTGCTGCCCTGCCGAGATGCGCCGGAGCTGGGCTACGCCAAGGAGTCGAGCAGCGAGCAGTACGTGCCCGATGTGTTCTATAACGTAAGGGCGGCATTCATGCGGAGGGGGCAACTGCCAGAAAAAAAAGAAGAAAAACTAAAAAACCCCTGAAACAGCTCCTCCACGTGTCTGGAAATTGGTATGGCCAGCTCGGGAAAGGATGTCTTTGAGGTCTGAACTATTTTCGGTAGTAACCGTTCACCACATGTCTGCAAAGTAATTGCTTAAGCTCCATTTCCCGCCTCGTAAACGTGCTGTTACGGTTTCCGGAGCAGCAGGAGCCATTGGCTACCTGGCTTCCAAACGAGGTCTGCAGCAATCCGCCGGCAGCCCGTAGCAAGCGCTCCGAGTTCGCCTCCCCTGCCGAATTTGTTGGCAGGATTCACCACACTTCTCTGTTGATTTTAATCCCCAGCTGAGTTCAGGTTCCGGCCATAGGATGTGTGCTGGTGTGAGAGCGGCGGGGTCCCTACGCGGGGCCGGGGAATTGCTCGTGTACGACACGGTGATGGGCAACAGCGGGGCAGCAAACGAAGCAAAAGGGAGTGTAGTTCATGCTTCTTGGCAGCTAAAGGAAGGAGCGAAGCTTTGTGAGCAAGGGCAGGACCAGGGCACGCTCCTTTCCTCTCTAGTGCTGGGGTTCCTGCTGGTGCCTGGGTCCTGTTCTCAGGTCAGGCAATGAACTCCCAAAGCTGGTCCTGAGGAGCAGCGGCAGGCAGGCGCGTCTGAAGCGAATACAAAATGCACTTCCTTGAGGCGTCGTGCAGGAGAGCTGCCGGTCGCTTGGCTGCTGCAGGTTTTGGTACCACTCGTTAGCGATGAGTAGGCTGTCGTGAATTCCCTCGGCAGTTGTTCCCGGGGATCTGCAGCCCCGTATTGCCAAGGCTGAGTTAGAAACTTGGGGACGGGATCTCTGCAGAAGCCGCTTCTCAAACCTTTGTGTGTGTGTTGGTGCTCCGTGAGCAAGGACAGAGGAATTAATTAATGGTGCTGCTTACCAGCTAATTAGCCATCCATCATCCAAGTCAGTTATCTCGTTCTTGTCTGTGTCTGATACTCGCAGCCCGCTCGGCCTGCAGCGCTCCTGTGTTGGAGCTGCCTGTTAAGGAGCGCAGGATGAGCAAAGCTCCCTTTGTTTGGGCTGACTGAAACGAGCCTGTTGCGTGTCACTGATGGAAATAGAGCTGGGGAAGACGCTCTTGTGTGCCCTGATCCTGGAAATGCTGGCCAGCTGGTGGTTTAATCCCCTCCACCCCGTAACGCTGGGTGGTGTTGACACCCCCTGAAATGCCTCTTGGCTGAATTCAGCGCTCGAGCGGAAAGGTAGATGGAATCCGGCGCGTTTTCCCTTAGCACACAGCCAGCTCGCTCTCGGGAGCTGATAAGCCAGGTCCGATTTAGATAGAGCGGAGCTCCCTCGTGCAAGAGTTGGCTCTGAACGCGCGGATGAGCTCATCTCCTGGCAGGCTGCGGTCCCGCTCCGGAGGAGCCGGTGCCGTGCCGCTGTTGGGGTGCAGCCTTGCAGGAGGGCCCGTAGGTCTGCGTCCCACATGTGGGGCCACCCTGGGTGTTCGGTGCAGCAGGAAGCCGGTGGGTGTTCCCGTAAAGTCTTCTCTTCCATCCATAATGCGAAGCAGGGAGATAAACAAAAAGCTAACCGATGGCTCCGGCTTCCAGTGGAAATTTCCACGAACCACTGATTCACTGGGTCGGACTGCAGCTTATTTCACGTGTTTTACAACTTCTGCCCATAACTGCGTTTTTCATGATGTGCTCAAGGAAGGCTTGAGGACAGCTCTGGCGGTTGCAGTTGTCCTTCAGCCTTAAACGTGCTTGGCAGGAGGATCTCTTTAATTTTTTTGGAAGGTTTTTTGAATCAATGGAAAGCTTAGTCACTCCTGGCTTTGCAAACCTTTGGGGTCTCGTTAAATGCACGAGGCTTGAGGTCAGAGACACTACCTCATAGTTACTGGGCTGGTGACAACAGCAGTGTCAAAGCGTCAGTTAAATGCAGCTCGAGGTGGCAGAGGACGGCTGCTTTGCTCCCCCTTTCCCTGCTGGAGCTGCAGGAGCCGAGCAGCTTTGTCCCTGGTCCTTAAGGTGGGGGATCCCCTCTGCTCTGCCCCCGCCGCCGCGCTGGCTTTGAGTGGGAAATTGCACTTTTGAGTAGTTGCTACATTTCGTCTCAGAGCGAGAAACTGTCACTGGTAGGGAGAAAAGCCTCCGTGTCTGTTTCTATGTAACATGCAAGTATTCGTTTGAAAAGCCCTTTAGGATGAAAGGAGCTGTACAAGTTTATTCTGATCGTATGAGAACCAGAAGGCCCACGTTTGTGAAGCGGGGATGTATTTATAGAACAACTGTGTGTCCAGATGTTGAACTCTCTGATCCATCTGCAGCGGGGCAGCGCGGGAGATTTACCTTGGGCTCTGTGAGCAGGAGGAGGTGCCTTTTGCATCTCGAGTGAAGCATAAACTAACAGCCGTGCCCCGGTCACGTCGTTCAGAGGAGATGAGTTGTACCTCCGCTCGCCCTCGGTGTCGGTACTTCAGTGGTGACAGTTAAAAAACGCAGCTGGATCGGTAACGCTGCGGGCGTGGGAAGGTGAGGATCCACGCTGCGGGCAGGAGAACTGCGGCTTCGGGGGCTTCACTGCACGGGCGAAGAGGTGCCTGGGAAGAGAGGAGCGTCTGTCTGTGGTCAGCGAGCTGGTTTTCCGTGGCTCGCGCCACATTTCGTGTTGGCTGTTTCTGGGAGCGGTGGCTACCACGGCCCCGGAGGCTGCAGCTGTTCCTGCCCGAACGTGACTCACCGCGCTCGGTGCGTTTGCATTGATGGGCTTTTCTTCCATGGAAATGGGAAAACTGATGGCACCAGCGCTGTCCTGCCTCAGGAGACGTGAGGCGTTTTCCTTCAGCCTCCAGCCTTGTGATTTCTGTATTTCTTTACCATTCTCTTTATGTTGGCCACTAGCCCTGCTGCTTAGAGGAACCACCCCGATGGATTTGGCAGCAAGTGCTTTCGACACGCGGCCGTTGCTTTCCTGGCTCATGAGGGCTGGAGTTCTGCTCTAGCGTGAAAGTTGAAGGCTTTGGGGACCGTGAGTACCAGTTCCTTTGCTCTGAGATGCCTCCCCAGGTGAGAACAGCCAGAAGGAGGAAAGCATCCCCCTTGGCCTTGCGGATTGCCCGTGAAGCCTCACAGACCATCACCGTTTCCAATTCCAGTGCTGCACAACCGACACACGCTTCTTGGCAAGGTCAGCACAACGAAGCTCGTGAAGGAGTTGCCCTTGTCAAGGCACACACAGGTTGGGGTAACTGCGCTCTTTGTGAGTGAGGATGACGATGTTGCAACGGCTGCCTCACGCTGTTTCTCAGCTGGATGAGGGAGAGCCCAGCTCAACATGACATACGGCATTTTCCATTCCCCATCTTCCACCCTCCAGCAGTCAACTTTGTCCCTCTGGGTCTGGAAAATAACTGTATTGACTTTGATTTCACTTAAGAACGTACCTTCCGAACTGTGGGTTGGTTATTGAGAGCTGAAGTTGCTTGTGGGCGGTGCTGGGTGCCCCCTCCGGCTGCGATCCCTCCCGTGGGGCTGCCGAGCCCGTCCCTTTGCTGTGCTGCAGCGTCACCCGCGTGCTGTGCTCCATGGTTAGCTTCATGGGGCAGCACAGCCTCCCACCAAACAGGGACAGGAGGAGTTTGCTGTGTTTTACAGACCCTTTGAAACACTCAGATGATTGGATTTGGGGACTGGCTGGCTTTGTCCCTTATCACGTGTATTTGCGTCAGCTTAGTGCTGATAGGGAGATGCCATCAGTGCATTGAATTGCATTTTACAGTTTGCTTTATATCTCTCCAGAGTTCCTTTAGGACGGTGTAAGGCGAAGCCCTTTACGTTGGCACCCGTGTTGTGAACGAGCCCTTTGCCCTCGTAGAGTCCCGTGTGTCCTTTGCGACCGCCGAGGTGGTGTCTGAGCCTTGGCTTCTCGTCTGGCCCCGGGAGAACCCTGATCCGGGCGCTGCTTTTCTTAGAGCCGAACAGGACCTCTGAGCCGGGCCTTGGTCAGCTGTGGCACGTGTTGCTTCCACCCATTCTCTTTGAAATCCTCTTCCCAGGGAGGACGCGACAGCCGGGCTGCGCGGAGGCTTCTGCGGGGAGTTTTCACTCCCAGCGAAGGACTTCCCCTGGCTGGCCTCCTCCCAACGGCTCGTGTTGGACTGGAAAAGCCGCCTTAGCCTTAAATGTCCCAGCTGCTCTGGGGAGGAGGGTGCTTGATTAGCTCACGAGGAGTCTCCTGAGAAGGATTTCAACTCTCACTGACCTGTCTTAGAAAAAGCCCCTTCGTTTCTGGGCGTCAGCTGCTCTTATCTGGACGAGGGAGTAGGACCGCCCGGTAGAGCTCTTGGAAGTGAGCAGGAAGAGCGAGGCTGAGCTTCGTCAACACACCGAAAGGACAGACGGCCTCTCAGCTCCGCGGGACCTTCCGCAGAGTGAGCCTGTCGGGAAACAACAGCAGGGGATGCCAATGGCTTGTGACCCACTGAGCTGGAGCCTCCCTCCTGGCTGGCACCTCCCAGGCTCCTCCCCTGGCTGCTGCCCTCACCCTCGATCATCAGTCGAAAATCCTAAAGCCATTAGGCAGCCAACTCCGAGCATGGTTGCACCCGTGCTTGTCCCTCACCTGTCCTCTCCCCTCGCCCGTTCGCAGCTTCTGCCTCCAAACAGTGGTTGGGAAGGCTCGAATCGCAGCGCCTGATGCCATCTCCAGTTTGCCTCTGTCTTTGGGAACGATTCCTTGTCCAGATCCTCCAGGCTTTGCTGCTTGATAGCTTTGTCAAGGAGCCAAATACTTGTGCCTTCGTTAACCCCTTCCTGGCCTCCCTTCGGAGTGGCCTCCGCTGGGCGTTGCTGGCTTTGGGGGGCTCAGGCTGCGGGGCTGCAGCGCTAACGTGCCGAGGGACGCTGCTGGGGCCTGTTGAGGATGAAGATGTCTTTCTCCCAGCGATTCCCCCAGCTTGACATTCGTTAAGGCCCTTAAAACATAATTGCCTGATAAAAGGGTGCACGGGGGTTGGAGCGGAGTTGCCGGCATTGCGGAGGGGGGCTTTTCCGTCTGGGGAGGGGCAAGGTCTCAGCTCAGAGGGAGCGACGCTCCGGTTTGGTCGTAACAGTCGAGTGCGTGTCTTGGAGGCCTCAGCAGTGCGATATTAAAAAGAAGGCATTTAACATGGAAATCCCCAGAGGCGGAGATTAAAGCGAACAGGTGCTGGAAAAATGTTTCTGCATATTAGAACTTAATTAGATTTGAAAATGAATTCCAGATGGGTTAATTATGTGTGAGTTGTTGCAGGTTCTTTCTTGCAGGGGCAGGATTGTGTTTGGGGAGCTGATTCGGTCTGACTGGCTTCGATTCCCCGACTCTTTGCGGTATCGTGGAGATCTAGGAGCAGGGTTAAGCTTTCGGGTCCTGTGATCTGCCTGAAAAGGCTCCACGTCTCCTCCTGCTCCTGTCAGAGCCGGAGAGATCTGAGGCCACGAGCCACCAGGCTCGTTGCTGAAATAACCACAGGGCCAACAACCTGTCATGTTCGAGGAGAAAAAGATCTTTATCGGAATTACTTTTAAAAGGAGCTTCAAAGACTGGAAGGGAGGTGTTTTTATTATTTTATTTTTTTTTTACACAGAACCATTCCTCAGGACAGAGGATGCTTGGGGAGGGGGCTCAGGAAGCCTGGAGGGGAGCAGCGTGCCGCAACCTGCTCAAGCCGTGTCCGTCTGCGCCTGCCAGGAGAGCGGAGCGTGAGAGCAGGGGTGCTGGCTGCACCCATATTTGAGCTGTGTAAATACCAGCGTCACCGAGAAATGACGATAATCCGGGGAGCAGGACTTGCAAGGGGAAGGTGTGAGCCGCTGGCAGCTCATCCTGACACAGGGGGCTCACTGAGAATCGCAACTCAAGAC